TCCTCCAGAACCCCAGCTGGTGCCCTGTCAGGGTCTTCAGCAGGTCAAGTGTGATGTGTCCCAGCTCTATACCAAATTCCTGTGTGCTTCAGGAGAAATCAAATTGGCTGCCCTTGCCTAGGTAACTGAATTGGGCTCCTCATCTCTGCTGAGATTTCTCCCTTTGTTCTAGGGTGGGGTTGAATGCAAAATGCAGTTTCTAAGCATTCCTACAACAGGGAAACACAAGGTTAAAGCAAAAGTCCTTCTCATATTTTCAAGCTTACGGATGAGTCATGCCTGCATTTAGTCACAGCGAGGAAGATGAGCAAAAATCCTTGGGAGCCACAGTGCCCTCATGTCAACTCTTGTGCCAGGCTGGTGTTTGCAGTCCTCCACATATTTCTGCCCCTGTGTCCATGGTGCAGCAGATCACAGAGATGTGGGCAACCTCTTGCTCTAAAAATGGCAGCTTTGCATCATGGGCATGCTGTACATGGCCCTTCTGACTGGTGAAATACCTGAGGGCAATCAAACCTCTGAAGGCCCAGCCCCATGTTAAAAGCAGGGTGGAGTCAGGCTGGTGTAGATTTTTGGAGGCTGCCCACATGGTCTGGGTGTGTGTTTGCAGAGAGGTGAGGGAGGGCAAGAGCGGGAGCCACTGGACTTGACTCTTGCAGATGAGTCACTTTGAGGGTAAACGTGGCAATCTACAGCCTTTTCCCTCTTCTCAAGTAAAGAAATGGCCCCAGAATGATGTTGGGGTGCCGGGGAAAATGTACCCTCCCTCCCTACTCCCTGCCGCCACTAACTCGCCAGCTGGACATGATCTTGCTATAAATATTTAGAGTGGCATTAAAAACCCAAAGGAGAATTTTTCTCTCTCCTTGTCCAGGGAACATTAGCTACCCAAACAAAACGCCCTCTCGCTTTCTTTCTTGCTCTGTATGCATTTGCTCTTGTTGCAGTCCATTCTGATGATTGATGTAGCTTTATATCTCTCTTCTGGCTCTAACTCCTTGCTGCCTGTTTAGTACTGCCTCTTCCTGGCAGTGGCTGTGGATTACTCTCTTAACCCTTTAAGAAAAAATAATGCTCTCTGACTTCATTAATGACACTGGTTTATGGGGTTGGGGAAGGCTAGGTGGGATGTTCTTGTGCTTCAGACATTGATAAATGTGACATTTATTTAGAAGATCCCAGGCTCGATGGCTTTGCACAGTTACGCAAACTCCTGCTAGCCCAGAGTACAGAGTGTGCTGTTTAAATAGATTATTGCTTTGGGGAGGGTGGTGATGCTCCTTGCTGAATCCCCACACAGGTCCCTGCCAATTTAGAGCCAGGGCTTCTGAGCAATAAAGCTCCTGCTGCCTGCCTTACAACTCTCTTCATTTTTTTTCCCCAGAGATTATGGCTTCAGACACATCTACAACCAAGTGGGCACATCAGCACTGCTTAGTTAGAGTTTTTTTATAAATACACTAGAAATCACTTTTCATGCCAAAGACAATATGTTCTGTATGCCCCCCATTCTATGGTGGGGTGGGAGGGGAGGTGGGTTATGAGCCCTGCTGAGAGGGTAGAGCTGTTTCTGCTGTGGGACAGTTTAAATTGTCAGATAAAATCAGTTTCTAAATGAGCTCTTGAGGCAAATTTTCTGGGCAGGTATGCTATTGAGCGAACCAGTGAGTGGTCTTTCTTTTGGGAAGACAAAATTAGTGCATTACCATGAGAGTGAGATCTTGCACAGATAATGGTCTTGTCTGAACACAAATGGGAAAGTGGCCTCATTCACAGGGTGTATGACCCAGCAGCACCTTGAGATGTGATGCTTCAGGTGCCCCATAGCCCTTGATGGGCTGGAGCTATTGGGGGCTGTTAAAAACTGTGACCCTCTACAATTGCTGCTGTACAAACTCCATCTGTGGCCAATTTCTAGAAAATAGAAGTGTCTACCAAAGAACAAACATGTTATAATGCTGTATACTCCTGCTTCTTCTGCTCTTTCTCCTTAAGTGTTTGGCATCATTCAGTTTTGGAATTGTGGTGATTGAACCTTTGATCTGACCCAGAGCAGCTCTTATGTTTTAATGCAATGGGATGATGAAATGTCATGCACCAAGCAACAGAGCGGAAAAAAAGCTGTAATCTGACCAGCCAGCAGACAGGTGCACAGAGACTGGTGATGTCAGACAGCTTCTAAAACTCATATACTGATCCTATTACAATTCAGGTGAAAATGAACAAATATGGATAAAGAAAAAGGACTGCTCAAGACAGAGACTTCACTGAGCTTATTCAGCATTATGTGCAGGGTCTCAATGACCACAGCCCCCACAGTAATCAAGAGACAGAACATCCCTTTACCCAAATTTTCAGTCTAAACTGACAGGGGACAAGCAAAAATATTCCTTATTATGGTCTTAATAAAACTGGGAGAGGGAAGAAAACCAAGGATTAACATTTCTCATTGTATAAAGAGACAATTACAGGGATCATAATTAATCAGATGCCATGGAGAGGATGGGAAGATACCTCAAGCAGCAGTGGTGGCTGGCTGGGGTGACAGCTCAGCCTAGGCTGGGAGAATATCAGATTGCTCAGGGACTTGCTCAGATGAACTTTTGAAATCTTGAAGGATGCAAATTTCACAACCTCTCTGGACAACCTGCTTCCATATGTCTAATAGGAATTTCTTTTGCTGCAATTTCTTTTGCTTGCAATTTGCAATTTGCTGTCTCTTGCCCACAGAAAAATCTGCTAACTTTCTGCTGCTGCTGCTACTTGCCAGCTATCTGATCTTCTTCCTATTCTTTTAAGTCCAGATATCCTTATGGTCTTTCTCTCTTATTCTTCTGTAACTATTATGTGATTAATTTTCTATTTAGCAGCTCAGCAAACATGTTTTCCATGAGTCCTATTGCCACAGCTGCCATTCACATTGATATGACACTTAATGCTGAATTAAGGCTTATTTGAAGAATCTGGGCTTGGTTCTGATTTTGTAGGCAAGGGCAACAGGCTACATCTATAGATACTGGCCTTGAACCCCTGACCTAAACTTATAAAGGCATGGGGACAAGTTTTACAGCATTGGAGTCACAGAGCAACTTCCCAAGAGTCACTGTTTGCATTGTGTACAGATAGAGAGATACAGCATGTAATTCAATAATGACTTTGGCCCAGTATACGTGGGTGTAAAGATGTGTGGGCTCCTGGCTTGGTTTCAGGCCAATCTCTAATTAAAGAGTGAAAGATTAAGATGAAAGCAATTGCACTCTTCTTTAGTCAGAATGACCTACTAGTGTTAATTAAAACAGTCTTCAGGCAAAAATAAATTTGGCTGCCAAAGTTATGTGCTGCACATTAAATAAGGACGTAGCTGGTTTAAAGAGTGCTGAGCTTCTAGAGGTTTCACAGAAACCACTCATACAGCTTTGGGCACTTTTGTTGGAATATTTTAAAACAAATCCTTTGCCTAAACCAGCTACTTCATGTGTATTTCAGACACCCACTGGCTTTTTCTTCAAACTACATCATTTGAGAATGGGTACCTTATCTTGGTGTGAGCATACAGTGTTCTGGAGGATAAAATATCACCCTATCATTGGACACCAAAGTATCTTCATCTATCTTTTCTATAGTCTCTGGTTACAGACCCATGGCAACAGCAACAAGAAGATACTTAGATCCTACATTGCTCTGTTCTTGCTGGGTCTGAACATTAAAATGCCTGTGATAAAGGCATTCAGGTATTCAGGATCTGCCCTTGATATTTTTAGGTAGCTAGAAATGTTCCCAAAGAAGGATCAGGCCTTTAAAATGCCACAACATCCTATTACACCTGTGTGAGACACCAATCATTGTTCTTAAAAGCCACACATCTTTCCCATCTCATTTATACTGCCCCATGTTATAACCAGATGGCCAGGTGCTGCTGCTGTGACATTGATCCAAGAGGGGAGAAACAGGCCCAGTGCTTCAGAAATACTGTTTTCAATGGGAATAGGATGGCAGCAGTCATCCCACCTCAGAGGGCCTGAAAGACCCTTCATCATGCAGAGTGGTGGTACACTTCAGAGGCAAAAGGGGCCAGACAAAGAGAAACACTCATGAACCCATCTCCTTGAACTAAATTCTTCACTCTCTTCTTCTTAGTCCTCAGGTTCTGTTGTATTTTTTTTCATGTACATCTTCTCTCATATGATTATAAGATCTTAGGCTAATTCAGGGAGGAGGGGAACTCCAGTGGTCTCTAATTCAAGCTCTTGCTTAAAGCAGGGTGAGCCATGAGATCAGGAAATATCCCAGGATGAAGACCATGCAGCTGTCCAGAGGCCAATGTCTTCCTCTTTGGGAACAGCATTTCCTGCCTGACATCTACCTCACAAAGGACCCTCCTCTTCCCCTGTGATGCTCCTGCACCATATCCCAGGATGTGGTGCTGGTGAGGACTGCAAGCCTTTCTCTCCTTCATGGGATAATTTAGGGGGTGACTGCTGAGAGGGCAACTCAAAGATAGGGAAATCACTCTGGCCTTCCCTGTTGACAGCAGGACTTTAATCAGGGTCTGACTTAAATCATTAATTCACAGCCCTCCGGTTGTTTAAAGAGCTGTGATAATGAGCTGAGAAGAAATTACTATTCATTGTCTCTTGGCAGGACTGTAATGGCATGACATGACAGTCATTGAATTAGGAAAGGGCAGAGATAATCTTCAGAATGAGAGAAAGAGAAAATCTACCCAGAAGAAACAATGACAGGAGATTCCTCCACATATGCAAACACAAAGAGGTCAATTTATATCTAGTTTTTTCAACATGTCTTTATTGCTCAAGGGTATTTGGCAAGACAGCCATAACATAAACTTCACGTCCAACATTACTTGGCAACATATTTCCCAGCTGGGAAGAAAATAAATTGGATTTTTTTCTTTGTGCTAATGCCACATTTTTGGATGGTTTTTTGGAAGCTAATCAAGAGATGGCTGCTCAGCATGCCTCTTCATTCTTGATGGGCTTTTAGTGCAAAATTGCCAGCAGCAACTTTCTGAAGTCCCCAGAGGTGTCAGAGTGGACAGCTTCAGCTAACGGCTTCTTGTACATCTGCTGGAACTTCTCCTTTATTGCTGGCAGGTCGCTCTGAGGAGACACCAAAAGCCTCTTTAGAAGAGTGGTGAATGCTTTGAGTAACCTGCCCTGCCCCTGCCAGCACCCCTGGGGTCTGATTCAAGGCCCACCACACCGAGTGGGAGTAGGAGAGGAGAATACAGGAGGTCTAAAACTCTTGGAGGACTTTGAGCTTAACATTTGAATTCGAGGTAAGTCCATGTCAGATGGTGGTGAGGGGATGCTAACTGTGAAGAAGGCCTGCATGGAAAGTTATGCCAAGGCTGGGACAATCTCTGCCCAATGGTGCTGTGCCAGCACAGCCTTGGTACTGGAGAAACTCACACAGGAATGATGTGAGCTCCTGAGGCCATCCCCTGGTGGCAAACAGGGAAAGAGGGATGTTCCAGGAGTATGGCTAAAAAAGAGTGTTGTTCCACCCAGAGAAGTAATTTTCTGGTTACTGCTGGGGGAGAAACAAACTCCTTATCTGGAGCTGTCCTGTAAAAAGGCACCTATTGCACAGGTCTGATCTTTATCGCAGTGGGTTTTAAATGTTATAACGACTGGACTGTGTCTTAATGGAGACAATATGCTGGAGCCTAATTTTTCTCACTGTGGATCATTGAGAAATATGCTTTCCTCATGCCTGTGAGAGGCTCCTCCTCTGTGTTGATTGAAACAGCCCTGGGGTTACAACCTACACAGCTTACAAGGAATACTTAAAGATTGTGCTTAAATGTCTCAAATGTCTCATGAGGTTTTGTGCTTCTTAAAATGACAGTTAACTCCTTTGGCTTTTTATTTCTCTTCTCTCCTCCCCATCTGTTTTTCCCAGCTGGAATCAGAGAAAATTGGCAACATATGTTTATAAGCAATTCTCAAATAGGAAACTGCTGCTTTATCATTAATTAACTAGGAATTACTTCTACACATCCTACTGGGGCCAGACCTCCCCATGGGCTGGTTTTAACCAGGTACAGTTGACTACACTTGAAATTGCCTACATGCTTCCTGGTTTAGTTCCTTTGAAAACAGAAATAGATGCAATATCAAAATTAGAGGTGCCTGGGTACAGAAGCAGAGTGTGACCACTGATGTCACTGGGCTGAAAAGGGTTTGCTGAGCACATGATCTACCAGGACTCACTCCATACCCTCTACATTTGTGTTCTCCCAGAGCTGATGTGAGCAGTTACAGGACACAGGGTACCCTACCTCAGCCCTGGTCACAAGGATGCGAATCAAGGTCTCTTCATCAGTCCCAGCTCCTTTCATCGACTTGTGCAAAAGTGTGGCAAAGTAACCTGGGCAGTCTTTGGCACAGCTGACTAAAGAAAACAGTAAGAGGCCTTATTATACTTGTACATTTACAGTTTGTGATACAACTTCAAGCAGAATTAAATAAGTAAGAAAAGGAAACTCTAGTGTTTAAGCATAGACACATGAGCTGGCAGGGCTTTTATTCCGAGACTGATCCCCTATCAGTATGCAAGGAGAAATCTTGGAGTATGAATGGAGATGTCCATTTTTCCACAAGAGATTACCAGAACTGAGTACTCAGCCATTCCACAGTGAAAATTACATAAATGAGAAACCCCATGCCCTCATGGGGTTCCTCTTGCCCACCCATTCTTGGGGTAGCTGCCTGTTGTATTGCACTAAATAGTTTATTTAGCCATTTACAGCTGCTCACTCCGCAGATCACAGGAGGAAATCTGTGAGAGCCTAAATCCAGATGGGTAACAGCAATACAGTGGGACAGGGCACGGGTTTAAATACTGGTCAACCCTAGTGCTAACTTGCTGTCTAGGACCCTGTACATTTTTTGGTGGCTGGCTAGTGCACTTCTCATAGTGCCCAAGCATCTGCTGGAAGTTATCACCAGCCTTTGTCCCAGGGGCAGCTTGGAGGTGGCTACCCTGTGTTAGAGGGAAAAAAATTCAGCTTTTCATGTGGAAAGGAGCTGTGTCGGGCAAGTTTTAGTTTTAAAACCAAAGAGTCCCAATCACTACTGGAAATTGTCTGTTTTTTCCCTGGCAGATATGTTAGCTCAGTTTAGGGGTAGCTCAATGGCTGTTGCCAGGCTGTACACAGACCCCCAACAATCAATGTCAGGTGACAGCAAGAACTAGAAAAGAAAGGTCTTGAAACTCTTGCTTTTTACCTAGAGTCAGATAAGCCTTCTCCAGATCTCCAGAGGTTTCACTTTTAATGGATTCTTCTATGTCCTTCCCACACACCTATGAGAAGAAAAAGGAGCCATAAGAGCTTCTGTCTGTACATTTCTTCCCACTGTCAAAACAGCATCAGATTCAGGACCCAAATGGCAAAAGGTCATTCCAGATCCTTTAGAGCCTTTCCAAAGGAGTAATTCAAGGTAAATGAAGTTCTCCTCTGGCATAAGTTCTCACAGATCCACTGTGATCCACAAGAGAAGGTCTGTGCAGCCAGGTAAGGCCCAGTGGTTAAGGGATGGATAATCTCCATCAGGCAGTCCCAGGTATCTGACAGCCTCTGGGACAAAGAAGCTGCAGCTTCTTCTTGAGTGACCCCTGGTCAGCAGAAACTGTTCAAGCTTTCTCTAGACCCTCTCTCAAAGGCTCTGGATGGCTCCCACATAAATAAGATAATTTTTGGAGCTTTACCAACTCTCTGAAGTTCTGTTACTTATTGTCTTTGGCTTCCCAGGCTAAGTTTACAAGCACCACTGTTGTCTCAGAGTTTTTGTATTATTCTGTAGGGAATTGGAGAAGCAGACTGTCTCTTCAAAACAGAGTTTACCCTGACTTTTGTGAACTTCAGGAACCTCAAAGACTTTTACTTTGCTCTACTTTGAGCATCAGGATGTCCCTGCAAGTTTCAAGACTCTGACTTTTAGGTCAGAGCTGGGAGACTGTGTGTGCAAGGCAGCAAGGGCACCACATGAGGCTTTATGGCTTAAGTTCTGCAGAGCACCAACCTGGTTTAGATCTTACCCTATGTATCTCTCCAGCTGAAGAGAAGGGCATGTTTGCAAGATTTTGGCTCTAATCTTGGCCTACTTTGAGTGCAGCCAGGCAGGATGTGGTGGATTGGTTTGAGCAAACAGATCTGCTTGACTTAAGGAATCAAAGGCCAAGGTAGTTTGGCTATTGAGCATTTAACTGAATCCCCAGGGTTTGGGCCACTCCAAGGGAGAGAGTATCAGTTTGTGACTGGGTTTGTTCTTCTGCCAGCAGCAGCCCCAAACTTGGATTAAGCTGCAAACGTTTTTGTAGCTATTGGTTCCTTATTATGTTGACATTGAAACATGGCTTTGACTTGAGCTCTTTCCATCTTCAGTGCCTGAGGCTACAGTTTTCTGATGAACTCAGAGTCTTCCCAGGGAAGTTCAGGACTGTGAGCCAGAGGCTGGAGGGAGACTCTTTCCTGAGATGTCACTGCTGAGCTTCCACCTTGCTGCTAGGAGAAGGATCTTGGATCTCCCATTGCTTTGATTTTCAGAGGTAATTTCCTAGCAAGATATCTCCATATCAGGTCAGGTTCAGGCCCAGGCATGAGTAAAATGTCCCTGCTGGGTGACACAGGGAAAAGTACTAAATAGCCAGGATCCTGCTGCCTCCTTTGCCTTATGCTTGGAGACAGGGGAAAGCACAGCAAAGCACCTGCACAGGCCATCTGTCCAGTGTGGGCAGAGAGGAAAAGGCTGGAGATAAACTTCTCCTCAGCCAATATGAGTGTGTTGAAGTGGTAGAACAGGAGGAGACACCATGCCAGGCTCTGTTTAGGAGAAGGAGAAGAAAACACCAGAAAAGCAAATCTTTCCTTCAAGGCAGGAGTTTGTGAACCTGTCCTTTTGCTGCAGGAGCAGGGGGTACACTGTCCTGCAGCTGTGGGAAGGAGCAGACATTGGTGACATTTATTTGGCTGAGTATTGTGTAGGTTATGAAGGGGAATGGGATCTTCACTGGCAGAAGATAAAGCTTCTCCTGTAAATCACCTATTTCTGTATGCTCAGGACACAGTTGTGTAAATATGTTTTCCAACATTCTTAAAGCATTCAAGAAGTTACAAAATGGCAGATAAAGGATTGTCCACTCTACATAGAATCATTTAGGTTGGAAAAGGCTCTTCAGATCATTACATGTCATTGTAGGGTCTGCACCTATAGGTCACGGCCTATGCAACCCCCATTGCAGAAGATAAACTCACCTTTTCATAGGCTTGAAAAGTAGCTCTCAGCTGGCTATAGCTTCTCTTTGCTAGGACCTCATTGAAAGCCAGCTCCTCTGTTCCCCAGCGGCCTTCTCCTGCCTTCAAAAGCACATGTTATTTTCTGGAAGCACTTGTTCATACACAGTAGAGACATGAAGTCAGCCACAACCCTGGATCCTCCAGCCCATGCTCCCCTTGCTCCTCTCTTTGTGTTGCCATTGCCCGTGTGCTTGGTTTGTTCAGTCCCCCTGAGGTAGCCCTTGCTGTGCAGCACGGGATAAAAAGGGATTTTTGCACAACTGCACTTACTTTGTACAGATCTGAGGCATCTTGCTCAGCAAGCTCTGCATTGACCTGCTGGGTCTCATCTCGGGTTGCCTGCAGAAAAGGAGATAACTGTAAAAAAACACCCAACCAAGAGCTGGTTTCCTTTCAGCTCACGGATATTTGTGTATCTCTGGCCCTGACAGATTTTTGGGTTGGGGTTTTGCTGCCATCTGCTGACACGAGCCCGGGGATGGGCACGGTGGGACCCCCGGGTTTGCTGAACCCTTCCTGTGGGGTTTGTCCCCAGCTTTCTGCGCTGTGTGCTGAGCCCTAACGAGATGGCAACGCTGCTGCCCCTGGAGCAGGAAGGTGCCCAGTACCTGCAGTGAAGTGCTGATGCTTTTCACAGGGCTGGATATGCCCTGGGGACTGTGAAATGTTTTCCTGACTGACCTATGTACTCTGAGCATTCACCAGCACTGCCATCCCTGGGAGAAATTATCGATGAAAAACAAAAAAAAGCAATAAATGTATTTGCCACTCCTGAAAGTATACAGGAGGTTGGAAAGAGCTACACCAATGCTTCCCAGAATGAGAATCTAAACTGTGATGTATTTAGTGATGTGACTGTTATGTCTTTAAAGCTTCTTTTATTTATTCAGTCTTTTCATTTCCCAGGGCTGTCAGATCAGACTGACCACCACATTGCATTTCTCAATGTGCTCCTATTTTTCTTAGTTATAATGTGTCTTTATGAAGGTGTTGATTTTTCGCTTTATTTCATGAAAAGGGTTTAAAATAAAATGTATTCTAATGGAAAATAAGCTTTTTTTTGATGAATGAAAAACTAACAGAACAGCAATCTCTTTCTTAGTTGTTCTGTATCTGAATTCTGGAATCCTTAGATGAGATGGAAATAAGATTTAGTGGTTTAGGGCAAAAATTCAGAATAATGGGGCCATGACCTCAAATGAGTATTCTAGCCTTTACCATGGTATAAATAACAGTAAAACAATCCTGTTATTTTCAAAGTATCAATATTGATAAAATTATCTGTGGTTTCATAAACAAAAGTGGTACATATTAAAAAGCCATAGATATGAAAGGCTCTTATACTGAAGAATGCCTTTGTTTACTGTAATTACCTCATTAATATATTACATATCATAACTGCATTATTATAACTGCCAGACAATACTTCTTATGGTTACTCAGGGAAAAAAGGAAATATCTCTGTCAGGCAGCTGCATAAGAGGAAAGTCCCCAGCCTCACCTCTAGCACCATGACTAATATCTTCTGTAGGGAGCCACTGGTGTCACTTTTAACATCAGACTCCAGATCCCTGTCAAACACTGGGAAGAAACAAAATCTATGAGAGTTAAACCAGTGAGAAAGGATTTAAATGAAGGCGTTTGAAAGATAAAACTACTTACAACGCTTGTAGGCCTCCTTTATGTTTATGATTTCCTAGGAGAACAAAAAAATAAATAAAGCAAAAATCAAATAAATAAATAAATAAAATATGTGTTATTAATTAATAAGTAAATGAGCAAACAAAACACCAGCAAGTCAGCACCATGCCTGTAGTGTGTGATGTCACTGTCACATTTTCTGAAAAATCCCCTTACCCAGGACTCTTCTCCTGGGAAGCTGAGAAGTCTCACAGAAAAAGGAAAACAATATTATTTCATTTACTTCTCCTGTGTTTTGCTGCTTTGGAATGTAGTTGGAGATTCTTTATCCAGTATGTGAATTGTTTTAACTTAATGACCAATCACAGTCAAGCTGTGTCAGTACTCAAGAAGGAGTCACAAGTTTTTCATTATTATCTTTTAGCCTTCTGTCTGTATCTTTTCTCTATTCTTTAGTATAGTTTTAATATAATATTCTTTGATATAAAATCATAATATAGTAAATTAGCCTTCTAAGAACATAAAGTCAGATTCATCATTTCCTTCCTGCCCTAAGGGACCCAGAAAATACCAGAGTGTGAAGTGCAGCAACCACGGGGGAGGGAGAAGCTGTGAATTCCCAGTCCTCGTTGAGGACAGTGCTTTGAGAGGTGCCTGATTCATGCAGGTGTCCCTCTGGTTTTCCCTGCATTTAGGCAAGAGTTAACTATTTCTTTTTTTCACAAGGATCATGTTCCTGTGCCTCTGAACCACCAGAGCAGTGCCAAGGCTGCCCTTGAACATGTATCCAGGGATTATTCTCACCAGTGCTGCCCCCATGCCATCCAAGGCAGGTAGGAGTAGGATAAAGGAAGGAATGTGAATTTTATTGGTCTTAACTCCTGTTGGAGTTTCAGCTCTAGTATGGCAATCTTACTGCTGCAAACACTGGCAGAGGCATTTCAGCCACAGGAGCTGGACTGATCCCTGTTCCTCCTTGCAGGAATCCTGTTGGTGAGCTCCTTGCCCTGCTGCCCAAGGCAGGTCCCACAAGGTGGTGCCCTGACCTTGTTGCTCCGAGTGCAGAGGATCTCAATCAGCAGCGACTCGTCCGTCCCCGCTCCCTTCATCGCCCTCCGAAGCTCTCGGGCCTCGTACTCGCAGGGCAAGTCCAGCAAAGCCAGCACAGCCTTCTCAAAATTCCCACTCAGGTCTGCTTTCAGGTCCTCTTCCATCTCCTGTGGGGACGTCAGGAGGGTTAGTGCAAAAGCTGAGGTGAGATTAGAGGATTTCTTAATTTGTTTCAGGGAATCTAATGACTTAAAAGCTCCTTCTCTGCCAAAAAGGGACAAAACAATTTTTTAAGGGCCTTAAAATACAGACTTTTTTTTTTTTTTACAAAGTAAAATACCTAAAGATTTGGCTTCAGATTGACTGAAATGATTGTCCCATCTTCAAATACCAGCCAATATCAGCCCAGTTATGACTCTTACTTGTGTAAATAAATGCAAAATAGTGTTTTGAAAACTTAACAGTTTACTCCCAAATAAAATACAGAAGCTTCCTCCTTTGAAAGAGCTGCCACACAGGGGATCAAACTAAAAACCTTTCTGTCAGTTTTGGTTAAAACTGACTTACTGGAAAAAGCAGCAGGTTTCTGCAAGGTGCTTTTGTGCCAAGCAAGAGCATTTTTACACACACATACCCACATCAACCTTAAATCAAAATTCAGTAGGACCCTGGAGGAGAGCTGGCTAGTGCATGCTGAGGATGCCAGCTGAGGGTGCATTGGAACTCCTGTCTGCAGTTAACATCTCCTGCACTATGGGAAGCTTGACAAGGTCAGAACACTGAATGAGAAATCCAGCTCTATTATTCTCAAGTTCCTGCTTGCACAACTGCACATGAACACTCAACTGCTCAAGTCAGAGGCTGCCATCTGTGCTGGAGCAGTTTCAGCACACACCCCACAAATGCTGCAAGTTCCTGGAGCAGCAGGAGGGAGATGGTACCACTTGTGCCTCCTTCCCAGGAGATTCAGGCTGCCCAGGAGAGCAGAAGGGTTGCTATGAGCTGATGCCACTGTGATGTTTCATGGCATTTGATAATTTCTAATGCCTATATGTATTAACTCTCATTCTAGAACAACATCTATAGTATTTATGTAACCAAAATCTGTATCATGCTTGCTGTAAATTTTACATATAGAAGGCTTTCATTCATCTTCTGTACTGACTCTCTTATTGACAGTTATTAATGAGCAAGCAGACACTAAGAAAATACCAGTTTAATAAAAAAGTCTGCAGGATTCAGGTGTTTACTGAAACAATATTTTAGAAGCTTTATTTTTCATACACACAAAATCATTAAGGCAGTTTATGCCTCCTGCAGAAATCAAGTGCCCAATGAAACTTCTTAGTTTTGCAACATGTTCTACTTCATGACTGGAAGAAATCAATTAAACTTCTATTAAATTCTTCTATTAAACTCAATAAATATAAAGTTGTGTGAAATCAAATAGTTTGTATGAATTTGCATCTGGTCTAAGTGGGACTCTGACTTATAATTTCCCTTTTACATTAACTTATTTTTCTGAATATGCTGAAGATGAACACAAGCTGAAATATTTTCTATTTCAGTTATGAATTATTTTCTAGCTCTCCCAGCTTTGATTAAAATGCTCTGATCTGGTTAAGGCTGACTTCAAGAAGATTCTGAAGCCTAAAATTAGAAGTATAATCAGTATTTTAGGAGATAAAATAAATTGCTGAATCAGAAAGTAACTGGTGTCCTCCTTAAATGCACTATGCCCTTGATATTTTCAAAAGCAGAGGCCTGTAGGCTGTATTTTCAGAGGTAGTGGTTTCAAACAGAGAGGCCCCTTATTTCAAAATACCTTGCTATACAAATCCTTGTACTTCTGCTTTATTTGTTGTCTCTGCTCCGATGTTCGACTTGATAAGACTTCAATAATTTTTTTTTCATTGGTTCCTGAAAAAGAAGTTGTGCATAGGGATTTTATAATCAGCAATCTAATACAGAGGAAAGAAAATGTGGCCTCTAAAGAGAAAAAATTCCTGTACATATATCCCCAGTGGTTCCACCTTTAGGATTTGTAGCATTTAAGATTCTTTTGAGGATAATTTAAACTGTAGTCTACAATGTTCAATAAAATAAAATTTCACCATCTCATGCAGTTAATAGCAAAGAAATTGAGTCTTCTGTTTGAGAAGGGCAGACACTGCTCCTACAATCAGGGTTATGTCAGTGCCCACAGGCTGACATGCATGTTTTTGGTGACAATGCTTGTTTGAGCAGTCCCAAGGGATCAGCCACAGATCCAGTTTGTTATGGCATGAATGCTGTGCTGGCACAACAGAGTGAGGGCAGTGGGGCAAGAGGCCAGGCAGGCAAGGATGTGTTTGAATCAGCTCATTAGCCTGAAGCCTGGATGTACAGCCTGTAAAAAATTGGTTTTAATTTTGCTGAATGGAGTCAGGAAAAAGGACCTGGAACCAGCCTGAATGGTCTCAGTCTCTGCCATTGCTGTTTTGCTTGGCAAAAATCAGAGTGAAGTGGGAGTGTGGGATGCCCAAAGAGATGCAGCTGCTGTGCTGCCCATCACAGAGGGGAGCTGGACATGCAGCCACCCTCCAGGGGAAAAGCCCTCACTCAGCTTTGAGCTCTGACTTATGCAATGGATTGAAAAAGCTTCCTAAAGGCAGTAACCTTGCTCTTGCACTTCTGCTGCCCTCTGCCATATAAACAGATGTTTGCACTAAACAGAGCTGCTGGAAGGCATTTGTTACAGCTAAAAAGAGACAGGACCACAGTGATGATACCTGGATGTACAAAGGACACAACAGGGCAGCTGTGGCACTAGCACAGGGCTCCTGGTGTTACCTGGGTGTGCAAAGGACACAACAGGGCAGCTGTGGCACTAGCACAGGGATCCTGTGCACTTCCATCTGAGGACCAGCAGATGGACTCGGGCATTATTTCTTCATGACAAGAAATTGAGAATGTGAGCCAGGACAGACACATGACCCAGCTTGTGATGGGAACTGCCCAGATGCCCACAGGATGGCAGACCAAAGGCATCAAGACATTTGCCAGGTCTGCTGATGCCCACACATCCTGCGGTGGTCACTGCCCCACGCTCTCCTTGAGCTCTGATGCCTTTGTGTGGCCATCTCTGGGCTTTGTGCTGTGCCTCATCTCAGGCTTTTAGGAGCAGGAACCAACAAGGGTTTCTGAGTAGCAACCAGCACAAAGGATAAAGACACGAATTATACTGGTATTCAGCAACAGCTGATATGTTTTCATGCCTCTATTACCACCAGGTACATGGAGGACAACTTTAGGGCATCTTGCCCAGTTCTTCCTGCTTAGATCCAAGGCAGAAGGCATGGTCCAATTTTAGAAGGAATTGTATTCCTATTTGATAACATTGGGTTAAACTCTCAGTTAGGAGAGTCCTCTGGCAATTGTCATGAGAGGGCTCAGTTGTAAGACAGGAACAGTTCCTAAAACTCAACACTTCACTAGCTGATTCTGCATGTAAGTGCTATACCAGGAAGAAATGCTTAAATACATATTAACTGTGCAAATAACTGGAGTGAATTAATAACTTATTGATCTTGTGTGCTGCCTGGATGTTCTTCCTTTACTGAACATTGTCACCTCCACGGACCTTAGGATCCTGTGAAACACTATGCATTCCTCATTCACATCAATGCAGTCAGGCTTACTTCAAACTGCCTCAGAAGATGGTGAGGGACAGATATTTTCAGTTAAAAATCACTGGTGAAGGTTGAAATCACTGTAAATTCCTTTCAGCTGATGGAGCTGCAGTGGGCTCTGATGAAATATGGAGGTGATGATGTTCTTTGCTGGTCCCTGGAGGCCTGAGAAAGGATATCTAACCATGACCTTAATCTAACCTGACTAGCTAGACCCTGTGACTATCAAATTAATCTTGGCAGCTTGATGTTCCTGCCACAGGGAACAAATACCATGTTTACCCTAATGCTCTGAAGACATGCAATTATCAAGCTAGATCTTACCAGTCTTTGAGGAGCAGGCTGGCTTCCCTTCCCATTTATCTTCATGGGTGTGAATGTTCTTTGAGTCAGTATTTGACAGAGAGCATAAAGATTACCTAAAACTGGTTGGAACAGTTGGTTTGCCTAAGTTCATGTATATGCTTTCTATAATATTGATCTGCCCTTGGCACAAAGTCCAAAAATCTACAAAAGTCTTTCTTACCTGCTCCTTTGCAGGCACTGTGAATTTTCTTGGCATCTTTCTCTGCATCAGAGCCGTGATGGTGGTGCTTGTGGGCTGACTGGGAAGAGACAGAGACACAGCAGAAACATGGGAAACACATGGGAAAAACAGGGGAAACAATTCTGCATTAGAATGACAGCAGCTTGGGCCAGGTCCTTGCTTAATCTTTGTTCACACCATCAAAACCTTGAAGTTCAGGCTGGGCTTTGCTGAAATACTGTATCTATCCCTAAGGTTCCTGGAATGGATCCACAAATTGCTGTCACCACATAAAAACCACAGTGGTCTATATAACTTTGTCACCATATAAATATAAATAAATAAATAAATAAATAAATATATCTGTATGTATGTATGTGTATGTACCCTACATAACATGTCACCATATGACACACATGGCCTGTAGAACTTTGTTCTGCCAGTTATGTCTTATTCAAAGAATTTAAGGATAATAACTTCATACTAGAATCTTTATGCCAGATCAAATATTATTGGTTTGTACCACTTTAACAGCAGGCCAATACAAACACCTTAGCAGAATCAGGACCTATCTCTGTAGTACATTTTTAAGTACTGTGAACACTCCCAACCATCTGGATAAAAACTGCTCCTGAAAACCTTTCTTGTATTGATACATTCATGCAAATAAGATAATTGGAGATACATACTGTGATAAAGCTGGGGTTTTTTGTTGTTGCTGAGGAAGTGATTTTTGTTTATTTTTTTTATTTTGGCAAAATAATACATGTGGCTACCTCAAGCTAAATTTACAGGGACAGATAATAACTCAAAGTCCACAGCCACTGCAGCAGTTTACAGCCTGACATATCAATGTAAACAGAAAACCATGCCTGCTCCTTGTGATCTGAGTTAGCTGTTAATCTCCCAAGCTGTGAGTCACAGGGGCTGCAATGCTGGTACACCCTCCACTCTGCTGTTTCTCAGAAAAGAGTAGAATTATCTGAGACTATAATGACAACAACAATTTCAGCTCCTCTAACACGATTACTCAAATATTTTAAATGCCCAAACTCTAAAACAGTAGTAGAACAGAGGTTCTGGGCCCCTAAGTCAAGCAGCACAAGCCAGTATGCACACCACAGGGTCTAGGTGGGCACTGGCAGTGCTTTGGCATTTCCATTTAAAGAGCAACATGTGGATCTGGCTGCTGGCTTTGCAGGGCTGCCAGCCACTGGCACACCACTGTTAATTAAGAGTTGTGATACTGCAGGGCATGGCAGTCTGCTTTTAAGCCCTTCTGAAAATGCCACCAGCCTGCTGAGGAGCAGAAGAGGTTAAATGGCTGATTAACCTCCTTGTCTCTGGGGATAGCACAGGGCAGAGGCCATTCCTGAAAGACATTTGGCACAACATCATTCTGCTTGTGGAATAAAGATAATTTAGGCACATGGCTGTGGGCCATGCTCTGCCACATGCCCATCAGGCCAGAGAACAACAAGTTTTATTTACAAGTATAGATACAGTCTGGAAGTCTGTTTGTTAGTATGCTTCAAAAGTTTCAGGCTGTCATCTACTAGTTCTGCTGAAAGAGCTACCACTCTGGCTGAAGGGGTCCTCTATCAAAAGGCAAAGGGTCAGCTCTCAAGGAGGAAAGCTCAAATCCAGTCCCTACACTGCTTTACCAATGTGCCTTTGTGATTGACTGAAGCCATTTAGGTACCTGGCTTTTCCAATGCAGTTAGCAGCTAGGATAGGACCTACTGCTAATGGTAGCTGAAACACAAAGTTATTTTTACAACTATAACAATTAGTGAGGTACAATAACAATGTAATAATTTCATCCCTACAGCACAAGGTAACACTTTGATTGTCCCATCATTATGACAAATGTGGCTTTTAAAGATGTATCCTACTGTATGCTCACACAAATTTTCCTAAAACTTTCAAACAAGATGGAAATAGTTGGATATGCATAACTAATATTTTCTAGTGGAGATTTTATTTAATGGTCTTCAAATTACCCAGGAGTTTGGGTCAAAATGGAAAGGGAAAACCACAAAGTTAGAAAGCAGATGCACTGATAAGTATTCAAAATGAATTCCAGTCACAGTTTTCCATTCTGGCAGAGTGTAGGTGCTTCTTCAATGGCATCATGCACAAAGGAAATGCACTGATGGGCTGAGAGAGCTGGGCTTGTTCAGCATGGAGAAGAGAAGGCTCCAGGGAAATACCCTTTGGCTCTGTAGTGTTAGTGTGCTTATGGTAGATCTTGCTGCCTGTGTTAGGCAGCCAGTACTGAAGTTGCTCTAGAGTTGTTTGCAAAGCAAACCAAAAGGACTAAAGAAGCAGCTGAAAACACAGAAAAAAGGGGAAATTTCTGTAGCACAAAATACAGAGAAAAGTGCTAACATATCAAATGTAGATATTTTACTACTTTGTAGTTATCCAAGTGCTATTCTAATTTATAGACTCTGAGATTCCCTGCAACAATAGGAGTTGAGAACTATTGCTTCACATTCACTGCCTTGTGACCTGGGACAGAAGGTGCAGTGGTGAGAAGGAAAAGGCTTCATCTGGGATTGTCTCCCACTTCTCAGACATTGAGCCTGCACAGAAACACCTGCACAACCACACAAAGGCAGGAGCTGGTTTGTCCTGTGCCTTGCCTTGCCTTGCCCACCAGAAGTGCTGGGCTGTGGGAATTGCCCTTCTCATGCTGGTGCTGCCTCTGCAGCTCCCACTGCCCTAACCCACTGCAGGTGCACCTGGTCATGGACAGCTCATGATTTTTTCCACCCATTTTTTTTCTTCTTTATATATATTTAGGTTGGCTCTCTCATGCCTTGATGGCTGGTCAGTTATCCTCAGCTTTAGTGAGCCCCTCACTCCTAGGTACAACTGGTACTGTAGGTGTTGTGTTTGTGTGGAGCACAGGTGCAGCAGGCAGGAAAATGGCACCACCAGAAACTGAAATAACATTGTAGGTTTATGATTATTCATAAAGACATAAACACAGAAACATTTCTTTTCAAGGCAAAAATAATGCAGGAAGGAAGGCCTGTTTCAATGTTCAGGACATGTTTGTTTTAAAGCACCAGAGGAATTTATTGAGTCTGCTAAAGCCTCTGTCTTTAAAAAAGACACTTCAAATCATTAAATGATGCACCTGGGGGATAGCATTCTGTTAGTACTGTGTGAAATACCAGCATCATCTTTATAGAGGGAAATCTGACATTGGTGACTGTCAAAGCCAGCTCCTGGGTCAGCTGAGAAGCACTGGCTAAAATTCACTACTTGCTGAGTCCCATCCTTGACCTTCCCACTGACACAGCTTCCCAATGCAGGAGAGGGAGAGCTGTTTCAGAGCTGTACTCCTAACCCTGTGGATTTTCACAGCTGGATTTTCCTGTAAGGGATACATGGCAAAATCAATTGATGTTTAATACCATTTGTAACCTGTAGTAATTTTTCTTCTAAAAATATGGGCAGAACCACTTTAATACAGTTATTTTTTAGAGTTAGAACACTAGATTAGATTAGATTAGATTAGATTAGTCACTGATTTAGAAGTATTCTAGCAAATTTGGTAGGAGCATGATGTGGAGTCTGATATTTCAGGTGGACAGACTGCAAACAACTTTGAAGCTAGGGTGTAAGGGAACTTGCTTTCACAAACTGGTCCAGCTCCATCCACTCATTTATTTAATTTTCTTCTCATTCCTCTCCTATAGTTCTATATTAATTAATGTGACCAGAGTTCTGATGGTAAAAAATATTCTTTTCACTTCCAGCATAGCTGTATTTATGGCCTGTGTCAACTTGTTTTCTCTTATCCTGAATAGTTTTATGTCTCACTCAAGCATGTTTTAGACAATAACCTGTTTCCCTGCAGCGTTGGCTAAAATTGCCACAGATTTATTTATATTAAACTGGACAGTTTATAAAAGATCTAAAACTAACTTGCTTTGTTCTAACTTGTTTTAAAGCACAAGAAGTAGTTTTTGCTACTATAATTTACATCTGACTTTAGGGAGCTGTAAGATGAGTTTATAGTTGAAGATGATCTGCAATGCTTAGAGAAGCTTTGTAGATTTTTCTTTGATGTTTCAGCATGTGGAGCCCTTATGGAGCACAAATAAACAGTTTAGCAAAGGTCAGCAAACCCAAAAGGACATGGTGGGGGTGGAGGAACAAGAGCTCTGATGGATTCAAGGCATCAGGAGAGGCACTGGTAGGTTGCTGCAATACATTGCAGACACTCCTAAAATCTAGAGCTTTCCTTGGGTTACAGACAATTAAGCTTGCAGTAGGTACAAAGTGCTCATCTGTCAGTAGACAAGAACAGAAGTGCTGCCATGAACATGTCAGGTAGTTTCCTGTATTGCAAAAGAGAGCAAAACCAGCTCTCTGAAAACAGTTGATAATACAGCTTGAGCAATCACAGCTATTTCTCCATTTCCATGATCTCATGCAGATGCCACAAGGCTGCTCAGGAACAGGTTTAGGGAGGAGTTCTGTCAGAACAATGAAAGGAGCAGCTGCTCGGGGTGCTGGTCACCTGCTGCAGCTCTAAGAGATTGATGCTGATGATGTTCATGGATAAATGCAGGCACAGACCCTTAAAGAAGATCACTGGGAAGAACCAGGAGGAGCATGGCTGCTGACCAGAGCAGATGAGATCAGCTCCAGTAGCTGTAGACAAAGCTCTAAAAAGAGCTGGATTGATGCAGTTATGCTGAGTACCTGCCCCAGTCTTCATTTTTGCCAGGTACAATTTATGTGCTTTATTTAGTATATGTGTAACTTCAAGCTTCTCTTTGGCTGCTATTTAAAAGAAATAAAAATTAAATCTAAAAGTGGCAGCAGACAGAAAGGGCAGACTGACCCAGCCATGGTCTTTAGAGCATTAACTCATACACTTGAGTGGGATCAGGACTAAAATTTAGGGCAGTATTTAGTTGTCTAAACATAGGTCTCTGGTGCTTTTGAGATGTCCCAGGGTGAGCTGCCTGCTGCCTGTCTGACATCAGTGGCCTCCTATGGGTCTGCACCCATCAACCTGGTGTGAATTTTCTCACATACCTGGGAGCATCACCA